CCGACTGCGCCACCCAGGCGCCCCTATTTCTTTATTTTGAAGCAGGAGAGGGGCAGAGAGAATTCCAAGCAGGCTCCACCTACTTAAAATTCCAACCCACCCCCAGTCCTATCTTGTCCTGTTTTTTTTTTCCGAAGCGCGTAGTACCTCTGACGTGCTACATGATTTTTCCCTGTTCGTTAGCTCTGTCTTCCTCCCACGGGAACGGAAGCCCCATGGAGACTGGGTTTTCTCTGTTCTACTCCCTGTTCTCCCAGTGCCTAGAACGGGGCCTGGAACGGGGCCCGTGACCAATAGGTACTTACTGACTGGACGCACATTTTAGGAAAACTCTTGCCAGCTGTGTGACATATAGACCACAGAGGGCACAGGCAGAAGCAGGAAGAGAGGTCAAGAGGTTACTGCACTGGTCAGGACGACCCGTGATGGACGCCTGCATCAGTAGAGGTTGGCCAGCTTCTGGTCACGTGTTGTTTGGAGACGGAGCCGACAACACCAAGTGGTGATAAGTCCTCTTGCGTTACAGAAGTGCACTCAGAAGCGATGGCAGATTGTTCTTCCCCTTCCCAAATTTGTCTCAAGGTCTGATTTGTTGCTTGTCCTGTCTTTTCCTTTATAAGTGTTCTATGCGTCTTTCCACACTGAATCTCCTCGGACCTTTCTGGAAGTGAGTAATAACAGCTAAGTAACAAGGAGTTGTTCTCTCTTCTGCCCTGGTACAGATTGCTTTTTTCTTGGAGAAGGAAAACAACCCTTCTAGCAAGGAGCGTGCTAGGGAGGAGCCCTTCAAGACAAGCAGTGTCCCCATCACCCCCACCCTTACTCCTGTGCTGTGCCCCCTGAATGTCGAGTCCAACTCCAGGGAAGACCTGGACGCCAGAGACTTGGAAATGTCTAAGAAAGTCAGGCGATCCTACAGCCGGCTGGAGACCCTCGGCTCTGCCTCCACCTCCACCCCAGGCCGCCGGTCTTGCTTTGGCTTCGAGGGCCTGCTGGGGTCAGAAGACTTGGCCAGAGTCTCACCTGTGAGGTGTTCAAAGTTAACCGAAGTCCCCAGGGTCCCTGTGAAGCCCTGGGCCCCAGATACCACTCTCCCGGGAATCTCTCCACCTGCTGTGAGAGAGAAACGAAAGAAAAAGAAGGTTCCGGAGATCCTGGTGAGTGAGGGGCAGGGCATTTCCTCTGCTGGCACACGGGACACACTGGGAGACATGCCGGGACTCAGGCTGGCCCGGGGCTCAGCATCTGCAGGGTATGGGTAGAAATGCCCTGGCCAATGTGCTCCTTTCCTCACTCACCTGTCCCCTCCTCCCCCCCCACCCCCACCCCCCATTTCTCTTCCTCTAGAAATCAGAGCTGGATGAATGGGCTGCAGCCATGAATGCCGAGTTCGAAGCTGCTGAGCAGTTTGATCTCCTGGTTGAATGAGATGTCGTGGGGGCCGTATTCTCCCCTCCCTTGTACATAGCTCCTCCTCCCTGCAGAGAAGACACTTGGGGTCCCCTCCCCTGGTCTTGTTACCTGTGCATGTGCTGTCACCACACAAAGCCTGTCCTCCTCTGAAAGCTTGTGCAGCGGCGACAGCATCTCAGGAAACGTACTGCTGTCCCATGTCTATTCTGACCCACCGGCCTCTCCTTCCCTCCCAGGGGAGTCCAGCCAGTTTCCACACCAGGGAGTAGAGATTACTGGCACAGCCAGAGGAGGTGAAAGGCTGGGGTTGCAGGTGAGAGAGGACCTGGGCCGCCGTGGGGGATTGAGGCTGCTCTGCATCAGCCGCACCAAGCCTCAGGCATCCCCCCCACCCTGCATCGTCTTCTCCTGGGGGTTTGGTTCCCGGCCACGAGCCCATCTGCGTCAAGAAGCTTGGGCTCCCTCTCAGATTCTGTAGATGGTCCAGGAGAGAATTCTGAGGAAGAAGCTGGACACTGTAGAGTTTTACATTGTGAAGGAGGGAGGGAAGCTTCGGTTGGGTCTGAGACCATAGCTCTTACTATGAAAGCTGTTCTGTAGGTCTGCTCTGCTGCTGAGATTGTTCAGTTAAATGCCAGGCTGCTGGGGGCCAGGAGGGTGCGTTTTTCGGTGTGGCCATTAGGTGCCACAGGAACTGAGGCCCGGGCCTCTGGGGGACGCCTGCACAGGGCCGGGAAGGGGCTGTGGTGGGAGGTGCCCTTATCGTCGCTTAGCCTATTTCTTACAAAATAAAGTGCAGAGTCTACTCCACTGTAGAGGGAAAACAGGGTCAAGCAATCCGAATCCTAGTCCCACTAGCGTTTTGCAGCTACACCCATAAAGTTCTAGGAGGTGCCTTTTCACCTGCCAGAAAGGGACAAGGGTCAGAGGCAGTTTTAGCTTCCTTAGTGTCTGCTCACACGAGAACACTGCCTGGCGAGATGTTAGGAGCAGATGGGGCGCGCGAGCGTGGGTGTGTTGTCTCATTGTTTCTGGGGAGCCCTGCTCCCCTGCTTCTCTTGGTTCAGTGCTGGTAAAGAGCATGCTCTCAGAGGCTGCCCTCCCACGATTTCTGCCATACGTCTTCTGACGTTTACGGGGCCGTGGAGGTAGAGGGGAGATGCACGCATGCTGGGTTAGGGTACTCGATGATCCGGCGCGGGCCCGGTGGGCACCCGTGAAAGCCCTCAAAAGGCCTGGGAATCCCGGGCTTCCTGTTCAACACTTCGTGCTTCGTCAGACCCTGCAAGCAAGCCCCCTTGCTCGGACGGGCCCGGACGCTCCAGAGCTCGACAGCTAAAGAATTCTTGTCCTCACTGGCTGGTGGGGTGGAACACTGGGAAGTGTCTTAGCAGAGTCGAGAGTAGCCAGGTGCTGTGCTGATGGCATCGTTGCAAATTCTCGCTGTCCTTGAAAAACTAAGACTAGAGTTTAAGGGGAAATTGTGTTGTCGTTTTAATAAAAAAAATTTTTTTTGATTACAAAGTTTCTGCTCATTCGTAGACTGCTGTTTTTATAGAGGCAGAGGCACGGGTGGGAGGCCCAGGAAGCCAAGCCTTCTTTGACCTGTGTCACCAGGGTTGTCCCCTTGTGCAGGGGACTACCAGCCTGGCCTCTGGTGGCCCCGTGATCACTGCTCTGCTCTCACGTTTGTTTTTTTCTGTCCAGTCAAGAACAGGCCCTTCAAGGCAGGACTGCCTGGAAAGGGGGCCTCCAGGGGGCCCCAGCCCCTCCAGTCCCAGGAGGAAAGAGGTGGGGCTGCTAAGAGCTTCACCCGGTGCCTGGGGACCCGCTCCTCACAGAAGCCGGCCTCTGTTCCCCTGTGAGGCTCCTGCGAAGGAGCCAGCTTCTCACATTGGCCCAGCCGCCATGCCCTACGACAGTAGGGGCAGAGCCTCCTGGGGGCTAGTCAAAGATACAGGTTCCGTTCACCCATCCGGCTCAAGGACACCCAGGGACGCGTGTGCCGCTTGATGGCCTGTGGCGAGAACTAGTCTCCCTTCCAGCTCCTCTTTAGACTTGTCCTTGCCTCCTGGCCCTTAGAACAAATTAAGGTCTTTAACTCCTTAAATTCAAGGTGCCTGGGTGGCTCAGTTGGTTAAGCATCCAACTTCAGCTCAGGTCATGATCTCACTGTGAGTTCAAGCCCCGTGTCGGGCTCTTTGCTGTCAAGGGGCCCGGGGGGTCATCTGCAACTCTTGTGCTTGCCCTCGCCCCATCCCATCAGCCCTAACCTCAGCCTCCCTCTGTCCCAAGGCCATTGGACAGCACTGGCCTGGCAGGTCTAGTTCCTTTTAACCTCTCACTTCCAAACTCCACACTGGGGCCAGACTCAGTTTCCTAGAAGACAAAAATAGCCCGTCTCTCCCTTGCTTAAAGCCCTTTACACAACTCCACTTCTGAGTGTAACACCCAAAAGAATGGAAAGTAGGGTCTCGAAGGGATAAAAGATAATCATTCGTACAGACCATTGAGAGGCTTGCTTTTGTGGTGTCGCAGCATCTCCTGCACTTGTTCCCCGGTATCCACACAGCGTAGACATTTGGCAGGGGATCAGTTGCGCCTGCCTCTCCACTCCCATGGCCCTTGGCTTCCCCCCACACTCCTACTCCCCGTGTCTCCTCGTCCCCCCCACACTCCTACCTACGGCCCAGACGACCCACAGACACACAAAGGTCTCCATGCCCCCTTGTCACCTGGGGGCCACAGCCCAGGCCGGCTCACACTGTGCCCTGGTGGGCGTGACCTTCAGTACCGGCCTGCGCAAGCCGCTCCCTCTTTTGGATTGCTCTCCCCGTGCCAAGATACCCCATTTCCTATGTATGGACAGTCAAGCATCACATTCACGGCGGAATCTAGCTGGAGCTTTGAACCAAATGTGTGGCTCCCTTCTTTCGTGGCCGGGGCTGTCTACAGGCTTCTGTTACGGCACATCTCCCTGTGCTGCGCTCACCTGGGAACCTGGGACCTTCCCTAGCCCCGGGGGCTTTTCCTGAGCAGAACCGGATCACCTATCTGTGTGCTCTCGGGACCCTGCCGAGACCTGTCCCACAGGAAGCAGCTCGTCACAGTTTACTGGGGACCACTAACTGCAGAGTAAGCTGCGTTCTGTCACGTTCATGCCACTGATTACTGATCTTTTCTTATACTTGGGCCCTTGAGGCTGCTTCCAGTTTCGCTCTCTGGTATAAATCGGCTACTCTGTAAATTATTTTTTATTTCCATGGGAGTCGTGTCTTGAAGCCTCATTACCAAAGCAACCTTACCAGGGGCAAAGGTCCCGGCTAGTTTTGTAGATCTTGTTATACGCTGCCAACTTCCCCCAGGACACAAGTCAAACCCAGTGACAGAGCTACCCGCTTGGGAGCGCTGGTATGACTTTGGAGAGTTACAGGAACTCCTGCAGGATATTGCCAGCCACGAAGGTTCTGTTTACATCATGTGGACAGGAATTATAATATTTTAGGCCACCTGGAAAGGCTCAATGTACGGCAGAGAGGACTTCACATAGGATCCCTGCCACGGCCCGTGGGCCTGTCAAAAGCCCAGACGGAGCTCGGTATGAAGGACACACGGGAGGTCACTATTTGCCTTCTCATTGGATTGTCCTCTATCACTAGGCCAGCCGAGGTGCAAGATTCTGGAAAATCTGAAAGTGAAAGATGGCGACAATTCCATCTATTGACTGAAGACTTTCTGTCTCCTGGGGGCGGGGGGCGCCTGGGTGATTCAGTTGAGCATCCGACTTCGGCTCAGGTCATGATCTTAGGGTTCGCGAGTTCGAGCCCCGCATCAGGCTATCTGCTGTCAGCACAGAGCCCGTCTCCCTCTCTCTGTGCTCCCCCGATCGCATTCTCTCTCTCTCTCTCTCTCTCTCTCAAAAATAAACACTGAAAAATATATATTTAAAGACTTCCTGTCACTTGGGGAGAAGCTGCTAGTAACATCACTTCATAGAGACAGATGCATATTTAGGCTCAGGGATGTGAACCCGTCCACGGGGGTCCCGGGGAGGTACATCGGCTTAGCAGAGAAAAGAGTGGGGTTCAGCTCAGATTACAGAGCAGGGAGGGAACAGGAGAGGGGTGAACAGCACGGGCAAGAGTGGCGGTGGGGGCAGCTCAGGCTGGTGTTGGGAAGTGAGGCTCCTGGCCGGTCTGAGCAGAGACCTGTTCAGGGACAGTGGCGTATTAAGGGGGTTGGAAACAGGGGTGTACATAAGAGAGGGTCTTGAATGCCACACTATTTGTTTCTCGGCGTCTCATTGATAGATGGTTTCTATGCCCAAAACGGGAGGGATTCTCCACTTTTTTACAAGCTTCTATAGGATTCCTTTCAACAGGGTGCCCGTCACGCCCCCACCCCCTATACCTTGCATTTGCAAGGGTTCGGTTTCTAAAATATTACCAGCATGTAGCATGTTGCCAGATAAAACGCGGGTCACCTAGTAAAATTTGAATTTCAGATAAACGATGAATCATTTTTTAGTCTAAGTATTTCCCAAACACTGCGTGGGCCATACTTACGCTTTTAAAAGTATTCGGTTTTTGGGGCGCCTGGGTGGCACAGTCGGTTGAGCGTCCGACTTCAGCCGGGTCAC